TCTTCCAGCAGGCGGGCATCCCCTCCGCCAGCATCCAGTACGTGACGGTGGGCACGGGCGCCTGCGAGTTCCTCTCTGCTGTCACCTGTAATCTGCTGATCGAGCGGGTGGGCCGGCGCCCCCTGCTGGCCGGAGGGTACCTGCTGATGTCCTGCTGGGCCGTGGTGTTCACGGTGGCGCTGTCTCTGCAGGACGCGGTGCCCGGGATGCCCTACCTCAGCATGACCTGTGTGTTCGCCTACATCCTGAGCTTCGGCATGGGCCCCGCGGGGGTCACCGGGATCCTGCCCGCAGAGCTCTTCCAGCAGACGGAGCGTCCCGCCGCCTACATGATCGCCGGCTCCATGATGTGGCTCTGCCTGTTCCTGGTGGGCATGGCCTTCCCCTTTATAGTGGCGGGTCTGGGCCAGTTCTGCTTCCTGCCCTTCTGCGGCGTCTGCGTGGCCGGCTGCGTGTTCATCAGCTGCAGCTTACCGGAGACCAAAGGGCGGACGCTGGCGGAGATCACGGCGGAGTTCCAGAAGCGCAGCGGGGCTGCGAATGGACAACCACGATATGCAGAGCAGCCGCAGACCGACCCGACAGAACATATACAGATGTGACCGACCCGACCAACACATCTAGATCTGACCGACAGCTTCACTCTCTGAAGGGTTGCATTATTCTGTGTGTGTGTGTGTGTGTGTGTGTGTGTGTGTGTGTGTGTGTGTGTGTGTGTGTGTGTGTGTCTGTGTGTGTGTGTGTGTGTGTGTGTGTGTGTGTGTGTGTGTGTGTGTGTGTGTGTGTGTTTATTGTTCTCGGTCAGTATTTTAACTCTGTTTATTCAGTTATGCTTATAGAACAGTTTCATCTTGTCCAGGTGAAATTGCAGTAAAATTATTTTAATTTAATTTCCATATTAAATAAACACACACACACACACACACACACACCTATATATATATATATATATATATATATATATATATATATATATATATATATATATGGGAATAATTAAAAGACCATTTTAAGGTGTTATTTTGTTTTTGTTATTTTTGGTTATTTTGTGCCCTAAATTAGATTATTTTTTATTAAAATTGTCAAAGAAATGTCAACAGTAATTTTCAGAACAAAACCAAAATGCTGATTAGCCCAGACACATAACACATAATCTAAATCCACAGTAACAGAACATTTGAAGTGATCTGAATATCCACTGATTTCAGTCGTCTGTCTGGCGATGTTTATTGATGTATGTTGAATTTGTGTATGTATGTTTAACAGGATGCACTTTGAGCTGCAGCTGCTGTAAACGTGTTGCACTTCAGACCTTTATTATTGAAAGGACATAATTTATATTAATTTATTTTTTTATGAATTGTTTGTATTTATCTTCGGTTTTATCTCCTGCTGTTGAACTGTTGAAATGCTGCATGTGTGAGATAAACGCATGCTGGGGTTTATTTATCTATTTATTTAGACAGGTGCTGTTCTTCATCAGAGATGCTCTTTTTGTACTGTTTACAAGAATACTTGAATCTGGATGTCTGAGAAAGTGAACGCTTACCTCGTGTGTTTTACCTCATCAGTGTCTCCTTATCTAATGGCTTCCGTTATTTATTGGTAAGAGTAACTTATTCTGAAAGCCGTGCATTATATTATCCTTCTGTCCTGCATTAGTCAGACTAACAGCATTATGACTGTGAGATCTGGCAGATTTCCCTCAGTGCACCAGCAGGTGGCGCTATATCAGCATTCTGCTTCTGTTGTACTCCTCCTGCACTTTTGTCTTCCTAAATGAATGTATAAACTAAACCAAAAGACAATCAGCATCAACACTAAAGCCCTTATTGTGTGCCTTATTAGATTTGCACTTATTTGCTGCTCACTAACCAGCCTGAAGATGATCATCTGTATTCAAGACAATGAAATATGCAATAGTGAAAATTAATATTGACCTATAATTGTATGTAGAATGGATATTGATCTGTCATCATGCTGTTTCTGCTGTGTTCAGCTGGTGAAGAAGCTGAAGCTGTCTTTGCTCCTGTATGATTAAACACTCTGCACATGACTGATGCTCTGACTCTGTTCTTGTGTTCAGCAGTGAAGATGTGCTTCACCCGACACCATGATGTAAAGGACTGAGCGTGCGCAGCGCGTATGGAGAGCAGAAGCAGCACGCAGGCTATCTCTGTCTATTTTATCTAGTTAAATATCTCTCTATATATATACAAATACACCTTTTTTTTTAAAAAAGAAACTTTTTATCTGCACCAAGGCCCGCGGCAACCTTCTCCTATGCTGTTTCTTTAACCTGCATGTCTTTATTTTAGAAAGTATATAGATTATACAGTACTGTCTGCTTCTCAAGCTCTATGAGGAGCGTCATTCATGTCTGGTGCACTCAGAAGACAATCGCCTGTGACATCATGTCATTTGGTTTTTGATTGTCAGGATGTTTTAGGCCTAGTTATAATAATATTTATACAATATAGTTATAATGATATTTATACATGATCAAACTACTGTTACTTTCTCCGCTTCAGTATGTCCAGCAGCAGAGTAACAGCATGCAGAGGATGAGACGGACAAAATAATGAATGCCTGCCCTTTTACTTATTTTAGTGTTGTCAGGGTCACAGTGCAACTTGAGTAAACATAAAACAAATTGGAAAAGCGTTCTTCCTCTACTTCAGCTGCACAGCACACAGCGAGCTCACATCATCCAGCATGCGTGTCGAACTACACTACCAAAAATAGACCCAGTGCCGAAACTATCGCTGCACTGCTGCTTCAGCGATGCTCACGCTTCGCTCTGACGCGCTGCTGCTGCGCGCGGTATGAAAGCTCTAATCTGTTAACATGGACGCCGAAAAAACACGCGCTGCTGACGCTTGTGGTGTGAAGCAGGCTTTAGTGATCGTGAACGATTCATTCTTTTTAACCGGATCTTCTAATTGAAGCGGTTGAACTAGTTCACCAACTCGAACTGAATCATTTGAAACGATTCGCGTCTACAGTAAGCACTTATCCACATTACTTCATTTTTAACACGCCTGACCTCCATCTGACTCGAAATCATCCAATAAATCCTCAGTTATTAGTTATTAAATCAGTGCACTGAGATCAGCTTTGAGAAGCGTTGAACTGGTAATACTGCGCATGCGTGATTCAGTGAGCCGAACACAAACAGCACATGACGGCCTGCTGAGACTGAACTACACTGCAGCGCGGGAACCCGAGGCTTGATGACAGGATCTGGAGAAATGGGAGTTTATTCCTTCACAGACAGTCATAATGCAGTTTTAATAAGGGAATGCTGCTGCAGTCGGGTTTCAGATCATGCTGATGTTTAAATGATGATGGCTGACTGCATCTTTTACAAACATGTGAGGATTGGCACAAAAGATCCGGTTCGCGTTAAAGATCCGAACTTTTCATCACTACTGTGTGTCTAACCTCCGGATCAGCCGAGCGCACATACTGTCCTGTGGGCTGCTGTCTCTGAGTTTGAGGATGGGCAGAGGGCAGTGTTTGTATGCCCAAATGTATATTTGGTGGAGTTTTTATTATACAGTCTTTCATCTGATGATTTTAAATCTCAGTGATGCAGTGGGTAGCGCTGTCTGTCCCCTTACAGCAAGAAGGTCGCTGGTTTGAGTCTCTGCTGGGTCAGTTGATGTTTCTGTGTGGAGTTTGCATGTTCTCCCCGTGTTGGCGTGGGTTTCCTCCGGGTGCTCCGGTTTCTCCCACAGTCCAAACACATGCGCTGTGTTTGGGTGTTTCCCAGTACTGGGTTGTGCCTGGAAGGGCATCCGCTGTGTAAAACATATGCTGGATAAGTTGGTGGTTCATTCTGCTGTGGCGACACCTGAAGAGTAAAGGGACGAAGCCACAATGAATATGAATGAATGAATAAATGTTGCACAAATATCAAAAAACTGAACACTGAAACTAATAAAAACGAGTGAATCTGCCTCTAAAACAGATTAAACTGACTGAATTTAAAAACAAAGAGTCAAAATGAAATAAAAACTAAAACTGATGACAAATCTAACACTGTTATGAGCTCATAGCGTAGCTCTGTTCATGCTGGCATTAGCCTGCGTTCGCTTCTGTGTTTACAGTACAGGATAACTGCTTGCTGATTTCTTTGGAAACAGATCATCATGTCAGAAGCCACTGATTCTGAGAGGCGTCTGGATGCAGACCTGGTGCAGATGCAGTCTGAGCTGCATGCAATGCTGTTTAATGAGCTCACCTAACCCCGTCCTTCACAGTGATGTCACTCGCTTCATTGAGTGTATTGTGTCTGAAACTGCTTCTCTGAGATATGCAGTCTCAGCTCACATCATCAAGGCTGCAGCCAGATTCTCCACAGTACAGCACATCACGCTGTGTAAATCAACACTTACCACATGCTTCCTTCTCAGGCTTTAGCATAACTCGACTGATGTGTTTGTGAGCGTGATGATCTGTGATGATCTGTGCTGCAGCTCATCACTCATGGACATTTCCCTGCATCTCTGTATAAACGCACTGATGATCTGCCGAGTCCAGACGGCGAGTGCTGATCTCCACACACACAACTGAAGACGCTGTGAGCGGACGAGACAGATCCTCAGCGGGCCTCACAGAGATGAGACACCCAGACCGAGGAGACCAGCGCATCTGCAGACATCATCTCCCGGTGAGGGTCATTGATATTCCACACACAGCAGATGCACCGCGCAGCCCTGACCCTGTGTGCTGGACGTCTGGTGTTCTGAGCCACAACACACACACACACACACACACACACACACACACGTGCCTGCATCTCTGTCAGTTCTCCTGCTGCTCCTTTGTTTTCTCCTCATCTAAAAGTGTCTCCTGCTTCATCAGCGCTCTGTCGTGTGTTTCTCTGTGTGCTGGCCTTCAGACACACGGTGTTCAGCGGTGTCGTGGTTTTGAGGAAAGCTTGAGTCTGTTGAGTTCTGTGTGTGTGTGTGTGTGTGTGTGTGTGTGTGTGTGTGTGTGTGTGTGTGTGTCTGTGTGTGTGTGTGTGTGTGTGTGTGTGTGTGTGTGTGTGTGTGCGCGGATATAGTCACTGACATCAGTGTGTGTCTAATTAAAGATCCTCGCAGTGAGAGTGTAAAGCAATCGGCTGCGCTCCTCAGCTTCAGGCTTTACCATGGTAACAATGAACTCAACACGACCACAAACACACACCAGCACTTGAGCTCAGAGATGTGCACACTGTCAGAGACGGTGTGTGTGTGTGTGTGTGTGTGTGTGTGTGTGTGTGTGTGTGTGTGTGAGATGAGACTCAGCGTCGCTGAGGTCTGATCAGCTGCAGTAACTCTGAGTTCGCCTGCTCTGTTTTCAGATCAGTTTTAGGAGGTGTGTGTGTGTGTGTGTGTGTGTGATCAGGGTCTCCTACAGCAGTAGTGAACTCCTGCAGATGAAGATGAGCTGGAGCTGCTGATATCTGTGCTGGACGTGTGTATTCAGGAGGATTAGGAGAATACTGCTGCAGATGTGGATTCACCAGCAGATGATGAAGGAAAACTGTCAGAATACACCACACTGCCCTGCCACACAGCTGACCACACACACACACACACACACACACAGAGATGAAGGTGTGTAAACTCCAGCAGAACACACGCACACACACACACACACACACAGAGATGAAGGTGTGTAAACTCCAGCAGAACACACACACACACACTGCCAGAGCTCAAGTGTTTCATCTGAGAGCTGTTCTGAGATCTGTGCATCTGCTGTGGATAATTATTATCTGCCTGTTTCTATTTATACAGCGAAGAGCCGGCGTCAGCACAACACACACTCAGGGAGAACAACACACTGGTTTACTGGAGCAGTTTATACACACACACACACGTACAAACTACACAAAAGACGATCTGATCTGTGAAAGAAGCGCTGAAGCATGACTGTGTGTGTGTGTTCTGCTGGAGTTTACACACCCTCATCTGTCTGTGTGTGTGTGTGTGTGTGTGTGTGTGTGTGTGTGTGTGTGTGTGTGTGTGTGTGTGTGTGTGTGTGAAACTCTCCCTCAGTGTGTCTGAAGCTGATGATGATTCAGGAGAAACATCTGATCTGTGTTGAACATCTCTAAGGAGGACATCAGCAGCTGCCGGCCCGTTACTGACCAGAGCACAGCTTTAAGAGGATGATGATGATGATGAAGATGGTAAAGATGGTGATGAAGGCAGTGTTTGTGTTCCTCTACAGGATCATCATCGCGGTGCTGTGAGTGTCTCTGCTGGAGCTCACACACACACACACACACACACACACACACACACACACACACACACACTGGCCTCCGCTGCTTCCTTCACTCTGCTCCTGCTGTTCAGTGTCTGACTGTAATGTGGAGCTGAAGCGAGAGCGGAGGAGGCAGAAGCAGCATTCATCATCACTCTCAGCCAATCACATGACTCCTCTCCACCCTTCAGCCAATCAGACAGCTCCCCCTGCCCCTGGGCTGTGATTGGTCGTCAGCTCAGTGTACTCCATCAGCTCAGTGAGCAGCAGCAGCAGAGTCAGACGCTCTCCTGAAGCAGACGCTCGCTGTGTAGAGGGAGATCAGCCGCACACGGGGCCCGCAAGAGGAACCACAGACCACACACAGGGCCCGCAGGAGGAACCACAGACCACACACAGGGCCGCAGGAGGAACCACAGACCACACACGGGGCCCGCAGGAGGAACCACAGACCACACACGGGGCCCGCAGGAGGAACCAGAGACCACACACAGGGGGCCCGCAGGAGGAACCACAGACAGGGCCGCAGGAGGAACCACAGACAGGGCCGCAGGAGGAACCACAGACAGGGCCGCAGGAGGGCAACAGCAGGACCCCGCTCAGTGAGATGGGCATCTCCTCTAGCCGTTTGCCCTGCCAGCCTCCAGCACCCACGCACTTGCCCATCCCAGAGCCCCAGCACAGCCCACCCTTCGTCCACGGGGCCCCGGATCCCCAGCACAGCCCGTCCCTCGTCCACGGGGCCACGGAGCCCCAGCACAGCCCATCCCTTACCCACGGGCCCCTGGAGCAGCTGCCCACACTGGAGCGGCTGGCACAGGCCACGGGCGGCACAGAGGAGTCCTGGCGCCGCTGCGTGCTGCCCTGCGGGCTGATCTCACTGGTCATGGGCGCAGCCGGCACCGGCGTCACCTTCACCTTCAACACACTGCAGCACACCAGGGTGGCATCGCTGGCACTGCTGGCACTGGGCACCGGGGCACTGCTGCTGGCCACTGGCTGCTGGAGGAGGAGGAGGAAGAGAAAGGAGGAGGACATGCTCTAACACACCTTCACCTGTGTGTGTGTGTGTGTGTGTGTGTGTGTGTGTGTGTGTGTATGAACACACTGGAGCAGGAGTGTTTCTGATCTTCTGCAGGGAATCGTCAGTGAGAAACATTCTGATGGAGACCAAACTTGTTTCGCATGAAGCGTATTTAATTAATTCATTATTTATTTGTTTGTTTGTTTGTTTAATCATTTATTTATTTATTTATTTATTTATAATCTTTAAGAGCGTCAGAGTAAATCCCGTCAGCAGTTTTGATGTTCCAGACTGTTAATTTACCATTGAATATGGGTCAATCTGTGAAGTGACAAAGAGGAGTCTACTCGCATGCATTTGAGTGTGTGTGTGTGTGTGTGTGTGTGTGTGAGATTGCCTCACCTGCACTCTGTAGCACAGGTTAGCATCAGAGCTCTTGTGCTGGTGTTGCCGCGTCCGTCAGTCGTGGGCAGTGTACCGGCAGCAGTGATGTAGAGCAGCGGAGCGCTGTGGAGATGAGCGTGTCCTCACTCTGCTCATGCTGTCAGATCAGTGTGTTCTGGTACTGTTAGCATGTAGATGTTTCTGGTGCTGTGTGTAATATATTTTATTATATATGCATATTTTTGTAGATTTCCCTGTGAGGATACAGACAGCTGTGTGTCCGTGTATTCCAGTGCCTGTCGGTAGCAGTATCCCCTTATTTTTGTATCTCTCTGCTGGTGTTCTCATGATGAAGTGTTCTCGTTTGTAAAACAGGATTATTAGTGTGTGTGTGTGTGTGTGTGTGTGTGTGTGTCTTCACCCTCAAGAGCAACTAGAGGGAGGAGGACAGCTGTGATTGGCTGGTTTGAGGAGGCAGAGGCGGGGCCTTCAGGACTGTTCATTAAGAAAAACAGCAGGAAACACCAGCGCATGCTCAGAATAAACCCGCCTGTGTGGAGCAGTGCTGCTGTCTGTCTCACACACACACACACACACACACACACACACACAGCGGGGACATCATCCTGTGCTGGTTCTGCTCTCCATTTTCAGCTGGAGGACACACAGATCTACCTCACTCATATCCCAGGCCAGCGCTGGATGATCATCACACAGGATTTATTCTCATGCTGAAGAGTAAGAGTGCACATCAGCCTCATCCTCATTCAGCCAGGGACACGGCCAGCTTCTGTTTAATTCAGACACTTGAGCGCTCCGCTTCAGCCTCTTACATGCGTCAGATGTAGATCAGAGCTCTGCGTTTGGACTGTCTATCGCGTCTAGCGATGTCATTATACTGCTGTTTTACACTGATGAAGGACTGTAATAAATGGCAGAGCACAACCTCTACTCAAACTGCCTCAGTTTCATTCTTACTCACCCCATCAGGCCTGGACTATATATATATATAAAACAGCAATAAGATCATGGAGACACTGTGAAGAATGCTGCAGCTGCACACTACAGCCGCATGTTTATAAATGAGCTGTAAATGAGTGCGAGAGCAGCTGATCGTCCTCCTCCACAGCTTGGTCCTGGTCACTAATGCCAGTCAGTCAGCCTTCTTCAGCTGAGTCCCTTATTCATCAGGGGTCGCCACAGCAGAATGAACCGCCAGCTATTCCAGCATATGGTTAACGCAGCAGATTGGTCACTGTGGTGAACGGGCTGTTCGGTTCTGAGGCCCAGTGCAGACGCTCCAGATGACAGTGCCGTTCTACAGGATGCAGAACTGGAGCCGTGGCTGATGCTGCTTCTCCTTCAGTCTAGTCTGGCCTCTGTAGTCTTTGATTTATTTATTAACCAAAATCTTCTCATTTATGTCAAGAAAAGGCTTTGGTGGAGTTATTAATAGAGCTCAGATGTCTGCGCTGGCTCAGTTCTGGTCTATCAGCTCTGATCAAGCTGCTGATGGAGCTGTTCTCCATATGGACACACACTGGATCCTTCATGTTGGCAGTGTTCGCCCGGTCCAGGGTTTTGGGTCGTCTTTCCCGGTTGATCAAAGATTCTCCTATCCTGACTCTCTGATGTCCCCATTAACTGTTCTCGGGTCACTCGCTGACCCTGCAGCCCTCAGTGCCGATCCATCAGTCATGTACGGCCTACAGTTTACATACATGAACCTAACACACTTATCATGCGACATGCAAACACACACGCACACGCACACATACACACACACACACACACACACACACATTACGAGCAGTGTGTGAGGAGCGTGAGGAGCTGGCGTATGTCACAACTCTCCCTCTGTGTGTGTGTGTGTGTGTGTGTGTGTGTGTGTGGAGACTCCATCTGTCAGCTTTACCCACAGATATGAGCTCCTCTAAAATACTGAGATCAGACTCTACATCTACAACACACACACACACACACACACACACACACACACACACACACACACACACACACACACACACACACACACACACAGACACACATACACACACACACACATACAGAATCTACATGTACAACACACACACACACAGTTGTTATAGTTTCTCCAGTGAGGGCTCAGCTTCAGGAACATGTGCACTCATATCATTATTAATAGCAACATATAGACAGTCTCTGTGGAAACAGCTCTGTGTGTGTGTGTGTAAAGCACAAGTGTGCACACTGAGTCACACACACACACACACACAGAGAAACACACTTTCTCTCCTACATGCCGTGTACAGCGCCATCTGCTGGTGATTATAATGATTGCGTCTCCTGTAGTTCAGAGTGCGTGTATGTGTGTGTGTGTGTGTGTGAGCGTGAATAAACACCTTTACACACAGCACAGGCCTCATTCTGAACAGGTCGCAAATGCAGAATTAAGCAGACCTGAGCTGCAGACTGGAGATGGTTTCTGGTCAGTCAATCGGTGAGCTGCTGTGCTGTGGTAACAGTGTGTGTGTGTGTGTGTGTGTGTGTGTGTGTGTGTGTGTGTGTGTGTGTGTGTGTGTGTGTGTGTGTGGAGGCTGCTGTGCTGTGGTAACAGTGTGTGTGTGTGTGTGTGGAGGCTCTCAGACATCAGCAGCAGTGTTCAGCTGATGGGTTCTAGACAGCCCTACACTATAAGCACAGCAGCAGTATAGAGGAGGCAGATCTGCGGGATCAGTGCAGCGATGATGAGCCTGTGTGTGCAGTGAAGGAGCGTCTGCGCTGCGCGTCTGCGGAGCTGCGTGTGACGCATGCGCGGATCAGCCAATAGCGGCCCGGGATGCGCAGCGGAGTTGCGCAGATGCGCAGTGAGCAGCGCAGCCATTATTACTCTTGATCTGAAATCTGAATACTCCGCTCGGCTGCTCTGCTCCAGCAGTTTCCCCGAGACTCCACACAGCCGCAGCGAGCTGCAGAGATCCGCGGCTCTGCCCGGGAGTTTACAAAGTTCAGCGACTGCAGGATGATGACCTCCCCGCCTGCGGCTGCCGGAGCGCCGGTCTGCGAAGATGTGTGCGCCCGCAGCGGCTCTGGAGCTCCGGAGGCCCAGACACCCGCGCGGATCTGTGAGTGTCCACACACACACACACACACACACACACACACACACACACACACACACACACACTACAGACGTCATAAACAAGCTAATGAAAGAACTTAAACTCAGAGTTTCGTGTTAATTATTTGATAAGTGGTTGTGTGTTGTGTTAGTGCGTGCTGTTGTGCTGTGTTTGTGTGTTGTTGTGTTAATGTGTGTTGCAGTGTGTGTGATATTTCTGTGATGTGTGTGTCCACAGATCCGCTCAGCGCCTTATCCTCCACACCCACATTCAGCAGCAGAGACAGCAAAGGCCCACACGGTGAGTGTGTGTGTGTGTGTGTGTTAGTTTGTTTGTTTGTTTGTTTGTGAGTGAGTGTGTGTGTGTCAGTTAGTGTGTGTGTGTGTTAGTTTGTTTGTGAGTGTGTGTGTGTGTCAGTTTGTTTGTGTGTGTGTGAGTGTGTATGTGTGTTTGTGTTGACTCTCGACTCTCCTCTATCCCCCCGCAGCTCCTCCTCGTGGTCTGGAACCCGTCTCCTCCTCCTCGGAGTTCCCCCACGGGGCGGTGTTGCAGCTGATGGAGGCGATGCGGCGCTGCTGGAGTGTGTTTGGCGCACGCGAGCGTTCGTTGCTGTTCCAGAGCGTGCAGAAGGAGCTGGAGGCGCACGGACACACACTGCCCGTGGAGAGGATCCGCCGCAAGTGGAACAACCTGATCGTCACGTACAAGCGGGTGAAGGAGCGCAGCGCCCTGAGCGGAGGACACGCCAAAACCTCCTGGGAGTACTACGAGGTGATCATCCCTAACCCTCACTGCAGAGCTGCCTACTTAGGGAACTCATGTCAGTATACACCACTGCAATATCCTCCAGCCTCACCTGTGTGTGTGTGTGTGTGTGTGTGTGCAGATGATGGACAGTATTTTAGGGACGGCTCCGTGTGTGCAGCGGGGCCCGGCGTCTGCCACTCTGGTTGGGTTTGCGAGTTCAGCTTCAGCTGCGGTGGGGGCGGAGGATCCTCCATCAGTCCCCGCTGTGCCCGCTCTGCTGCCCACCGGCCTACAGATGCCCACACAGGCTCCCGTGCCGGTGCTCCGCAAACTGAGCCCCAAACGCAGCCCTGAGGCTCTGGGGCCCGTCCCGCTGCAGGCCCCGCTGGGCTCCCGGCGGCGCAGGCTGCGGCCCCTGCGTTCGGGCCCCGGGGCCCCTGCGGCGGCAGCAGTGGAGGAGCGCACGGCTCTCCTGCGCAGCTTCCTCAGTGGGCAGCAGGAGCGGGCGCGAGTGGAGCAGCAGCAGCAGCGCAGGAGTGATGCCCGCGGGCGCCGCAGGGAACGGGCAGCTCGGGCAGCAGCGGAGGGCATGGGCAGGATGGCGGCGGCGCTGGAGCTCATCTGCTCCAAACAGGACACCATCATCGCCCTGCTGCAGCGGCTGGCCGACCGCCACTAACAACACACACACACACACATATAAATATATATACATAGGCACACACACACTCAGTGCCGGTGTGTTTCGGACTAATAATCTGAACAGGGACCAGAGAGGCTTCTCATGACATGTCTTTTTAGCCCTGAGAATGTCGGATTGATTGATTGATTGATTGATTGGTTGATTGATTGATTGATTGAATAATTAATTGATTGATTAATTGATGGTCTGGTTTATTGATTGATTGATGGCCTGATTGATTGATGGATGGATGGATGGATTGATTAATTGATTGATTGATTGATTAATTGATGGTCTGGTTTATTGATTGATGGATGGATGGATTGATTGATTGATTTATTGATTGATTAATGGCCTGATTAATGTATGGATGGATGGATTGATGGATTGATTGATTGATTGATTGATTGATTGATTGATTGATTGATTGATTGATTGATTGATTGATTGATTGATTGGCTGATGTGTGGCATGTGTTGGGTCAGTGTTGATATGACAGTACTCTTCATGTGAGCTGGGCTGTTCCAATGCTCTGATTAACTCATTGATTACTCATCCTGGGGTCTGTTTTTCGTACGTGGATTACTCAGTTAGCTGGATTTGGATATTGACGATTTGACACGATCCAGGATCGTTTCGTTCTTCAAAGCTGATCCGAGAGTTGTTGTCATAGCAACAGTTCTGCTAGGTCAAACCTGATCGGGAGCAGGCTCAATTCATATAAACAGGATTATATCGGCTCAGTTCAAGCAAAGATAATACAGAAAGTGTGTTCCGAATGCTGATATTTTCTTACAGTGGTAGTTATATACACTTGGGAAAATGGTACATATTTTTTAACTATATATATGAAGTTATAGTCATTAATAAAATAAATTAAGTTATACAAATTTATAAAACGTATGCAATCTGCACTCTCGAAATGAAAGTACAAAGACTGCCACCTACTGGTGCAAAGAGAAAACTTATTGATATGAACTTTTTAGATCGCTTTAGTACAAATTGTGTATAATAGAAATGCAGAATATGTGACTTTTTTTAAAGCAATAATTCATTTATGCAGTCATGAACATGTTTTGACAGTTAATATGACGGTGATTTGATGCTTCACAAAAGTTGCAGACGCCTTTACCAATATGAAAATGCTTTTGTAAACAACCAGTTATTCTTTACACCGATTAAAAAAAAACGGCTACTATAATAAAGAAAATCTTTTCTAAATGTAGAACTAAATACACTGATATGCATTGAAATACATGATGAATACTCTTGACACATGAAAGAGTAAAGCCTGCAGCTCACAACACATGTGGAAGGTTATCGCGTGTCATATTTAACAAGCCGTTTACTGCTAATTTGATGTAATTTTGCTCACGTGGACAATTGAATATTAATCAGATGATGTCATCACGCTGCTGTGCCGTCAGCCAATCGCTGCACTGCTGATCATGATTTCGAGGATCGATAGATCTGTCCTTCACAACACACGCAGCGATCTCAGATCAGTTTATCCAGACATTCTAATCTGATTCGCGAACTTGTTTGAAGAACCAAATTAGCTAGAGATCAGTTATCAAGATTAAAAGATCCAGGATCTGCCAAATCATCTTAGATCATTTAAGCGAGGTACGAAGAACGGACCCCTGATCAATATTAAACTCAAAGGAAGATGAAAACAAAGCCGTGTGTGTAAATAAATGTTGGTTATGTTCATCAGCTGCGCCACAGGGTCTTTATTTTTAGGGTGCTGCGATGTTGAAACTGACTCTGTATTTTGATCGAGAGTCTGCAGTAACCCAGAGGCTGATGCTGGCTGGGTTAAAGAGCGGTGCTGTTTATCCTCTCCTCATGATCTGCCTAATCTGGGTTATTCTGATCTTCAGCTCTGTGAATCTATTGATCAGTCAGATCACAGATGTGTCTGCACATTAGTGCTTCGGGCGACCTTTAAACACATCCACACACCGATGTGACGATAAATGAACAGATGTAAAGCATAATGACCCAGCGCGGAGCTCGCCGTGTCTGAGCGCTCGTCTCTCTCCTCCGCTGTCACTGTGATCAGCCCTGTCGCAGCTCAAACCGCACTAATACTGCCGGAGTGTTCGATGTGATCAATTAATCAATGTTATGGCACGACAACGGCTCGGTTTCTAAGTACGGCATGTAGGAGAGTATTAAAAAGCTGTGTGGAACGCTTGTTATACGTCGACCGCGTGGCCTAATGGATAAGGCGTCTGACTTCGGATCAGAAGATTGAGGGTTCGAGTCCCTTCGTGGTCGTAGTTTTATTTACTGAAATTAAACATGTGGATGCACATCTGGAAAGCGCGATAAATAAAGCAGAAACTAAATATAAAGTGAGCAGCGCAAGAATGCATCCGCGCCGGTGTGCTCGACTCCTCTGCGGAAACAGCGCTTATATATTAGCGGAGCCGCCATAGTTCATAGACAGCAGCAGAGTGGCGCAGCGGAAGCGTGCTGGGCCCATAACCCAGAGGTCGATGGATCGAAACCATCCTCTGCTAGCTTTATTGAAATGTTTTTGCAAAGTGCTTCATGTCATTGCAAACGGCCAGTGAAGAGAGGCAGAACTCCTCTACAGTCATAATGACACAGTCAGACATTTCCAGCCATTCCTCTAATTCTGCTGTATGATTTACACATCAGTGAAGAGAGAATCCCCCATTAGTCAGTATATACACACACACACACACACACACACACACAGACAGAGAGGCAGCTCGTGATTTAATATTTTATTGAACTCCAGATCAGATGCTGCTGGTCAGTCGAAGTCTGGTCGCCTCGCTCGCTTAGTAGCAGAGTGGATCTTCTTCTGCTTGAGTCTTTCCAGATTCCTCTTATTTAACCTGGAGAGAATGAGGACGGGCGGAGAGAGTGAGGACGCAATATTCACGTGTGTGTGTGTGTGTGTGTGTATTTACATGCTCTACTAGTCTGTTTCTCTCACCTCTCTCTGTATGTGTGTCTGTCTTTCTGTCTCTGTGTGTGTGTGTGTGTGTGTATATATACATATATCTGTGTATGTTTCTCTCTCTGTACATCTCTCTGTGTGTGTGTGTGTGTGTGTGGTCACCTGTTCTTCCACAGCTCCTGGTCCTCCGGGCTTGGCTCCGCCTCCTGCTGCTCCGCCTCCTGGATCAGCGCTGTGAGCTTCTGCACACACTCCTGCAGGTTCCTCCGCTGGCTGCGGCTGATCTCTGAGCGCACAAACAGCTCTCCGGCTTTGTTAATGCGCGACTGGTGCTGCAGCGGACAGTATGTTACAGCAGTAAAGAGAGACACTCTCTCACACACACACACACACACACACACACACACACACACACACACACACACACACACACACACACACACACACACACACACACACACACAGCTCTTACCTTCAGCAGAATCTGGCTCTTCAGGGTCTCTGGAAGCCAGTCCGCCGTCTGCACGTGGAAACGCACCTCTGCTTTTGTGTTGACTGAGCACCAGAATAAACACATTAAACACACACTGAACACACACTAAACAGTGGACACTGCATACACTGGCCATGTGTGAGAGATGATAAACACACCTGTCCTCCATCTACAGTCAGAGCTGTGTGTAGTAAAGTGTGTTCACAGTCGTATTGGGCTGATAGAAACACAGTGAGTGTCTTATTTTTAATTTCCTGACGTTAAATTAGGACCCAAATCCCTCCTGTTCAGAGGCCGATCGCAACGTGACATAGAAGTGTGGTTTCTCCGCCCACTGAATTGATTGACAGCTGTATATTAACATGTCTCCATAGTAACACGTACAATCATGACAGGACGCGTGCAAAGCAACTGGGATTAAAAGATCTTTAGATGTTATTTTAATTTGTTAGGAAAGACTTATTTTCATTGGTGTGTTGGCCAATTTAAAGGCTAACTGTGTACCTGGGCTTATTTAGAGTGCTGAGACGTTACGATGGTACAGAGGACTTGTTTTATTTATTTGTTCCAACTTCCAAGTGGCCAATCGTCTACGCTTGTTCCGAATAAATTCTGTTTAAACATATAAATGACTCATTCCTGAAAAAAGGCAAGAGAACTGTGTGCCTGCACGTCTGAATAATGTCGGGCTGTAAACGGGTTCAGGCTTTATAAAGCTGTCAATCAAATCGTACCTGTCGGGTTCGGGCCTCATTTACATGGCCCGATTACATCTCTAATCAACAGTGAGTTTCACGAGTTCACAAGTTGTGTGTGTGAACTTTGTAACATCATAGTGTGTGACTCATCGTTGCAGAAAGGCCTGACTCAACTCCACAACAAATCCATCAAATAATCATTGGGGAAGTTCTGACTGTAGTGTTTCTCACAGACGTTACGTGAGATCTGCTTCCTTCATGTCTGTCACTGTGCTGCTTATCTGACGCAGCAGGAGACTGAGGCACACTGACTGTGGGAACGGTGGGCGGGGAGAACTAGCTCATTTGCATTAAAGGCACACGCCATAAAGACAGCTCCAGAGTGCTCAGAGCTGAAAACTTCAGTAGTGTGAAAGGTGTTTGAGCTGAAGCGTTACAGACACATTCTGGACACACAAAAGATTTAAATCTTGACAAATGGGTAGAATAGGTGCCCTTTAAAAGTTTTGTGTGTGATTACGTATGCCTGTTCACACACACACACACACACACACACACACACACACACACACACACACACACACACACACACACACACACACACACACACACACACAGACAGACCTGCTGACCTTTGTTGACGTGCTGACCGCCTGCTCCACTGCTGCGGCTGTAGGAGACCTTCAGTTTATCTGGAATAAGAAGAAGAGCTCCAGTGTGTGTGTGTGTGTGCGTGTGTATGTGTGTGTGTGTGTGTGTGTGTGTGTGCGTGTTGAACTGAAGCCGGGTTCCTCACCTACAGGGATGTGTGTGAGCTGCTGGTCCTGCAACAGAACCAAACTCGTGTTATGATGATGAAGATGATGAAGTATAATGCAGTCATTAATAATCAGCACAGCGCCGGTGTTTTCACCTGTGTGCTCCGCGCCGCGGCTCTGGCGGGGCAGAAACCGATCCCGGGCCGGTGCTGGATTCCCGCGGTGCCGCTGCTGAGCGCCGTTATTCCCGTTAATCTCCACCGGCACGCACACACCAGCGGGGAGAAACTGCACACTGCGGGCGCCGCCATGTTGGACGGAGATGCCTCACGTGATCTGCGAATGGGCGGTTACTTCAAAAAGGGTTTTATGAAATGGTCAGATTTATTCATGAAGTGTTAATTTGGCCGAAAGTGTTGTGTCCACACTGGCGTCTGATGCATCACGCTTCATTACTGACTTCAATACTGTTGATATTGATAAGAGTGTTGTTATAGTCAGCGCTGTGCTGTATGTACATCTGCTGCTGCAGTCCTGCTCATGGCCGCAGCTCATTCTGTCTGTACCGGCCTCAGATCACGGCGCTTTGTGGAATTTCTGAATGTATAAACCCGCTAAAAAGAGTCACCCCAGATGGGACTCGAACCCACAATCCCTGGCTTAGGAGGCCAGTGCCTTATCCATTAGGCCACTGGGGCTGAGACGGTGACCATAGTGCGCAGATCCACACTTAAACACTGGCGGGAGCGGCGGCGCGCTTGCAGATGGGCTGTTATTCTGCTGTCGCCTGTCAGATCTGCCCGTCTGCTGTGTAGTCTGACTGAACCGTGTTTCTGTTCCAGCATAGAAAACACACAGACAAACACACACACACACCGAACACACACACACACACACACACACACACACACCGAACACACACAGCAGCAGCGCGTGACGGAGGGGAACTCTGCTACCTGCAGTTATTGTGTGTTTGTCTCTAACTCTGCTGCTGTTGTGCAGTGCTGCTCCGGCCTGCGCCTCCTCCAGCACCGGCTGTTGTTGATGAGCGGAGCGGCAGAGAGGCAGAGGCGGCTCTGTGCCAGCTTCATTTCCTGCTGGAGACGCTAGTTAGTGCTGCTAGTGAAGCTCAGTGACTAGCGTTAGCATTAGCCGCCAGCTCCAGGCTCCTCGCGGGAATGCCGTCCTCCAGCTAGGGGCTCATCCTTCACTCACACTCGCGGAGAAACAACGAACATCATGAACCTACTGCCGTCGAATCCACACGGTAACGGATTACTGTATGCCGGGTTTAACCAGGATCACGGTAAGATGTTTACAGTTAGCTTAACGGCTAACACCCTAAGCACACCGAGACCGTTATGAACCACGGCGGACACACATCGCTCACTCTACACCGTTAACACGCCCGCGGGGTTTGCAGATACCGGGATTAATGCTGTAGGTCAGCTGTGATCTGCTGAATCTGTGAACTTTACTGTGTTCTGCTTCTCGAGCTAACAGCTGGTTAGCATACAGACGATGAGGTCACGTGAGCGCTTCACTGTTATCTTCTGTTAGTTTGGGGTTTACACCGCTCACCTGTGCTCATCTTCATCTGCACTGAGCTAATCTGTCGGCTGTAGAGGCGAACACACGCCAGCAGTGGGTACATTAGTCTTATTAGCGGTTTATGAAGACTTAATAAAGTTTACACACACTCACATATACACATTTATATATAAACACACACACACACACACCTGTGTGCTGCTGCTTAGGTGAATCTGTTTATAATATTAATAAAGAGTCATCCTGCTGCTGTTCACTGAATTATTCTGTTCTCTGTGTGTGTGTGTGTGTGTGTGTGTGTGTTCTCCTCCTCAGGGTGTTTTGCGTGTGGGATGGAGAATGGATTCAGGGTTTATAACACAGACCCCCTTAAAGAGAAGGAGAAACAAGGTGAGTGTCCACACTGCAGATGTGCACTAGTTAGGGGACTAGTTTTGTAGAAAACAGTGTGCTAGTGACTCTGGGTTCTGCAGCTCGTCTGATTTTGTGTGTGAGTGTGAGAGTGTGTGTGTTGAGTGTTTGCGCGGCTGACCCCAGGTCAGTGTCTTCAGGCTGGTCTTCTGATCTCCTTCATAACTCTCATGTTCTCCTCAGAGTTCCTGGAAGGAGGAGTGGGACATGTGGAGATGCTCTTCAGATGTAACTATCTGGCTCTGGTCGGAGGAGGAAAAAAGCCCAAATATCCCCCCAATAAAGGTGTGTGTGCTGTGTGTGTGTGTGTGTGTGTGTGTGTGTGCTGTGTGTCCTCAGATGGGTCATGGAGCAGGTTCAGTACTGAAGCTCATGCGGGTCTGCTGGTCATCCCGCTGAACGCTCCTGCTGTTTCTGAAGTGTTGGAACAGCAGCGAGGAGGGCCTCTGACGTGTGTGTGTGTGTTTCTCTGTTCTGTGCATCAGTGATGATCTGGGACGACCTGAAGAAGAAGACTGTGATTGAGATCGAGTTCTCCACCGAGGTCAAAGCGGTGAAGCTGCGGCGTGACAGGTACCACACTCTGCTGTGTGTGTGTGTGTGTGTGTGTGTGTGTGTGTGTGTGTGTGTGTGTGTGTGTGTGTGTGTGTGTAAATCAGTGGTTGTACCTGCTGCTTGTACTGTGAAACATCATGGGCTCCTTGTGATTATTTGGATGCTGTGTTGCTTTAATTAGTGTTAGTTATTCCAAATAAAATTAATCAACTGTGTGTGAGAGGATGTAAACATGTCTGTGGGCTGATGTAAAGATCAAACCTGGAGTATTGACTCGCAGTATCAGCGACACACACATTCAGCAGACACCAGTGACACACCAGGCCTCCAGTAAGCTCTGAACTCATCATGAAGAGTTTGTGTTTCTGAACCGTGTGTGTGTGTGTGTGTGTGT